TACGCCGAGATCAATGACCTCATAAACCACACATGGCCTTTCTACCATGCCGATACGCATACTCCCAATTTCGGAGCAGACTTTGTCAGACCACTTCCGGCAAACCCCCACAAGGGCGACGACATCACCCATTTCAGTCTATCCGAGCCGGCCAATAACAGCCTACACCATTCAGGGTCAGACTTCCTTTCTCCCGTGGATACCGCCAGGGGGTTCGCTGCGAGCTTGATAAATAGGGCCACTTCGCCCAGAGGCAGTTCTCCTTCGCCAGCGCCCGGAATAACGCCGGTTTCGTCATTTCAAGATTTGACCACCGCTCAGTCGGCCGGCTCCAATGCGGACCACTCTGCGCTGAATGAACCAGCAAAACCAGGCCTCTTTATGCCTGGCGACTACATCTACAACTTTGAGCATCCACTTCCGGCCCTGTCGCCCGAAACGATCGATGCCAATTTCGGCAGAGTCTTCTACAACCTCGAGGCGAATATCATCAGAATGGGCGCTTTCAAGACAAACCTCACGGCCCGGTTGCCGGTGAATGTGGTACGTATTCCATCTGATAACAGCGTGGAAGAAAATGAGCCTATTTTTATTGAGCGTGACTGGGAGGACCAGTTGCGTTACGAGATTCTTGTGGGAAGCAAGGCCGTGGTTCTAGATACGTATGTGCCCATCTCGTTCAAGTTTATACCTCTTTATGGCAAGGTTGCACTCCACAGAATCCGTGTTTCCGTCACGGAAAATTGCCACTACTATTGCCACAACAAAACAGTGCACAGGGCAGAGCCCACGAGAAAGTTTCTTTTGCTAGAGCACAAAGCCAAGCCAAATAAGTCACTTCTTTCAGCGCAAGGTTGCCTTACTGATGATGGACCAGACGTGGGCTCACCAGAAGACGAAGTTCTACCCCGTGAGCTTGAATTCCAGATGTTCGTGCCGTCCACCATCAACAAGAAGTACAACTTTGCCATGCACGCAGATACGTCGTTTGAGAACATTCAGTGTGACCACTGGATCAAGATTTCGTTGAGAATCTCCCGTAAGGATCCCGCCAATCCCGAGAAGAGAAAGCACTTTGAAATCTCCATCGACTCGCCTATTCATTTATGCTCGCCATTGGCTGCCCATTGCAACACCTTGCTTCCAGCCTACGACCGTCCAGAACAACCCGAGCAGCTTCCACAATATGCTCCACTGTCTCCTCCAAATTCCCCTGAAGTGACGGTCGTGGATCAGCTGCAAAACGGTCATTCCATATTTTCTGCCCTTTCAAACTTTGGCCACAATTCTCCAACGTCGTCGGAAGGATCTTCACGGTTCAGAGCTCCTGGTAGATCCGCAACCCCATTGCTGTTTCACCATCTTTCCAATAGTGATGAGCCTATAGAGAAGGATCATAGGATTCACTTGGAGGCCAACCTTTATTCACCAAGTGAGGAAAATGTGCTAGAATCCTTGGGACTGCCACAAGCTCAACCACTTGCCAGTCCTAGATCGGCTGCTCATTCACCTGCTCCTTTCAGACCTGATCCTGTCAGACGTCCCACGATAAACCCGCCATCTTTCGAAGCCATCAATCCAGATTTTGATGGAACGCTTCCACCCGCTTACGAGAGGGAAGATCCAGCAACGTCGCCGGTGAGAAATGAGGTATCGCCCACAAGACCGAAACGGAATTCTGGTGCAAAGGATACTGTTCCTTCGATAGAGTTGCAGAGGCCGCTTACCGACACGAGTGTAAGCTCTACTGGTATCAAGCACCGTCTCAGTAAGCAGTTCGAACCTATTTCTCGTAATAGCGATGATAGCTCTTCGGCTGCAACTTTGACAGAAGCCAAACCCTCGACTTCAGCAGAAGCAGAGAAGAAAAAGGAGCTTGCACCAGAACCGCCAAAGAACGACCAAAGGCTTTCTCCTGGTTTCAGACCCAAGAGTCCCAGACTTCCAGAAACCGAGGACGACATGGATCTTTCTGACGTGAGGCTGCTTCGACTGCTTAGTGGACCCGCTTCGCCTGTGATTGGTCCGCTAGCTTCGAGACAGTCGTCGGTGGCTCTGGCAGTTGACGACGACCCTCCGCTTGAGCTGACCCTCCCACTTTTGACTCTCAACGAGGGTTACACCGACGACAACCTCAGCAACCTTCTGCTCGACCAAGGAAGACGTCCTAGTGCGTTTATGAACACCAGCATGACGGATTTGATGGGCAACAGCACGTATTTTGGGCGCAGTGGAATCGAAAACCATACTTTTCGTAACCCCAGGCTCAAGAAACACTACCAGGAGGAGCAGTCCTTTCAGAGCACCAAGGAACGGCAGAAGTCGTTTGGAGTTATTCCAAGCGGCGACATTCCACATCAGGGCACCACCGAACGCTCTCTGACCGCCAGTTCTGAGCGGAGTGAGTGGATCAGTGAAATAACCGACAGCTCCGGCGATAAGGCCAACGAAGGGTTCAGACGGCTTTCCAAAGACGTCAACGAGCTCGTTAAATAGAGCTTCTATGCATACGATAAATATATAGAGGTGGGCCTAGTGCCCCAACTTCAAACACGCAGTGCCATTAGTATGTACTTTTCTATTTTAGATGTCGAACTTCTCAGACGTCTTGTTGTCCACGTACTCGCCGCCCTCCTTGCGGAGCTCTCCAAGCCATTCGTACAAAACAGCCAAATCACGGGTTCCGAGGTCCTCTCTCTCGCAAGCCTTGAGGTACCACTTCTTGGAAATGTCACCCAAGAACAAAGCACGGTCGTACTGCTGGGCACAGTCGGTGGCCAAAACAAGGTCCTTCTTGGTCAACTTGGTGATGAAACCGCCCTGGTAGCCGACATCGGCAGGCAAGCTGTTTTCTGGGTAGACGCCTGGAATTGGGCAGTTGTCCACAGAAGCCCAGGACTTACCGGTGGAAACAGCCACGAGCTTGGCGTAGTGCTGCAAGTTCAAGTCGAAGGCCTTGGCCAATTGGAAAGAGTCGGCGACAGCCAAGTTGGTGACGGCCAAAAGGTAGTTGTTGGACAATTTCGCAGCCAAACCAGCACCGTGACGCGAGCCGCATGGGAAGATGTTGGAGCCCATGAAGTTCAACAACTTCACGAGGTCTGGGGACACGTCCGAGTGCTCGGCTCTGGAAAGCATGAACGACAAGGTACCTTTACGGGCACCAGCCACACCGCCGGATACTGGGGTGTCGATGAAGTCAAACGAAGGAAGCTCCTTCTTGACCAACTCGTGCACCTCGACGGAGGTAGGGATGTCGATGGTGGAGGAGTCCAAGAAGGTGGTGGCGGCGTTCTGTGGGTTGGCCTTGTAGGCCTCCACGAGCTCGGAAACAACGCCCTTGACGTGTTTTCCCTCTGGAACCATGGACACAATGAAATCCAACTGGGAGTCGACACCCGTGACGAACTTGGGGATCAGGTCGAGTGCCGTGAGCTGGCTCTTGGCCTCGGGTTTCTGAGATGTGACGTTTTCAACAAAGGCCTTGGTGGCCTCGGGCACGGTGTCGTAGACATACAACTTATCCAGAGGCTCCAACTGAGCGTAGATGTGTCTGGCCATGTGCTGGCCCATCTGGCCGAGACCAATGAAACCGTAGTTGGCTCTGAGCACGTTGGCGGAGGAAAAAGCACGAACAAACCGAAGAGACATTATGGGGAAAATTTCTCGCTGCTTCCCGATTTCGAGCGGATCGAGCCTCTATTTATGCTAGCGTACCCCACATCTTGTACAGTTCCGTGCATTAGCCGAGCCTACCCGTGGAAAATATGCGTACCCCAGGTTTTCCTATTATAGGGGGGCCATTGTAAAAGGAAGGAGCCGCCGATATCCGAGAGCCACTTGGTTGGAGTATATAGTGGGGAGTTTTGGGGTTTTTTTGAAATAGCTTTTTGGTTTTTGGCTTCTTCGGTGCATGTGCTGGCGCATGCATATGATAGACCCTGTGAGAAAGGTGGATTGAGGAAATGAGGTGGAGGAGGGGCAGCTGGGGAGGTGGGGGATATGGAGATTTGGATTTTGATGGGATTGGCGTTTTTCGTGATTTTCGTTTCGGAGAAGCTTTTGAAGTCCGAGTCGGGATCGGCCGGATCGGTGGTTATGCCATTGGTGGAGGTGAGCCGCTTACACGATAAGATAAGAGGGAAAGAAGAAAAGTGGTTGTTTTTGACATTCAATTAGGCAAGTTTACGATTATGTTCATCTTTTTTAAATGCTTATAGAGAATTGTGTGGATTTGTTAGTTCAATTTGCAGCCAGTAGCCGTGCTAGCGCTAGGTATCTTAGCGCGTTCGGAATATCATATGAAGGTGGTGGCTTGGGTGAAAAATTTTGTAACCGTGAAGGTATGGACAAAAACGCCGAGGAGGGTGAGTTTGGGGGTTTTGGGATTTACGGAATTGGCGAGTTTTACGAATCGATTTTGGGGGTCTTCCCTGTAAGCCCCTGCCCATTGTTGTAGGTGTATTGTGAGGCATGTCCCCATTGGGCGGTGCATAGATGCCCCATAAGGGGAGGTGAACGTTCAAGGGCGCTAATGATTTGAAAGTTGTAGGTTTACAGAAATTGCAGCATGTAAGGAATCCGAATAGTAAGAGGATAATCAAACTTAGCGTTTTTGGGCCTTTCTGACTCACCTCACTTCTACTAGGCTGTTGTGGTTATGGCTGCGAAACCGCTAAACCAGTAGCTAGACCGATCCATGGCTTCCTCTGTGATTTGTGCAGAAGACAGAGTTATTCGATTTCGGCGAATCACGAAAACAACCTTCCAGGTAATTTGAAAGGCTCATCAACACTTATGTGCATATCCCTAGACATCCCATCTCTTTGCATTAGCCACACTCGCCTCGGTCCATAATTTTTCACTCCAATGCCCATCATTGTAAATTCAGTCAATTCCCTCCCAATTCCTTGAAAGCTACCCCCTCCCCTACTCTCTACAAATCCTCTTCAATTCAATTGTCAATTGCATAAACTAGACTACAACCGGTAACCCTCCCTTCAGAGGGTGGTCCACTTCCAGGAAGCACCCTTGGGGTTGACCACCTCGTTGTCGTCCTTGGTGAACCAAAGGCCCTTCTCTTCACCCTGGGAGATAATGGCCTGCAAGTAGTAGCCGAACTTGCTACCATCAAAGCCTTCAGCCCAGACCTTCTTGGCCTCAGCCAAGGCATCCTCCTTGGAAACCTCGGTGGCAGAAAACTCAACCGACTTGCTCTTGCCGTACTTGGCCACAATGGCCTCCTGAGAAATCGTACCGGACTGGATTCTCAATTGGTCTGGAAGAGACGATGGGGTGGAGGTGGCTGCAGCAGCAACAGCCTTACCGACATCGGAAAGAATGGTGTAGGAAAACTCGAACTTTGGCGAGCCAAGGTACTTGACCTGCTTGGTTTCGGCGTTAGCACCGACCAAGGGGGCAATGTTCTCAGCAAAAGAGTCAGCATTGCCGAAAAGACCGGTCTGGATGTCCACCACCTTGAGACCAGCGTCTCTGAGCTTCTTGGAGTGTTCCTGCTTGATGCCCAAGAAACCAGGCAAAACCTGCTGGGACTCCTCGATGTCCACGCCGAACTGGGAAGGAATCACCAACTTGGGCTTGACAGCAGCAGCGATCTTCTCAATGGCAGCGTTGAGATCAGGACTAGGGCTGACCAAGGAGATGATGACGTCGACGCCGCTCAATTCCTTGGTCAAAGCATCAACATCCTTGGTGGTGTCGCCTTTGACGTATTTCACCTTGTCGGTGGACTTGTACTTGGAGTCGTCTCTGGTGACAGCCAACACTGGGTAGTTGATCTTGTCTGAGGACTCAAGGGCCTCCAAGACTGGAGCACCGAGGAAGCCGCCGAGGCCGAAAACTGCGATTCTAGACATTTGTGGAAGTGGATATGTGGAAGAAGTGGGAATTGATGATGAGAGAGATTTGGGGGGAATTCCCCTGAGCTTTATACCTCGAGGGTGCCGTGAGCCACAGCGATCCGGCCTGCACGTAGAGCTGTCGCTGTGGTGGTTTTAGTAAAAGTACGAGCTGCGAAAATCGCTGACAAATCTGGTGTGGTGGGGGATTGAGGGTTTTTGAGAAAAGTAAAAAAAGAGGATTTATAGTCATGAAACTGGTAGCATACTTTGAGAGAATGAGACCAAAAAAATCCAAAATTGTGGTGGAAAGGCCGGGTTTACTGTGGTGGTGGAAGCTCGCTGAATAAGCAGCTTGATAAGCAGCCTCGCTTAAAAACAGGACGTGCATGCCATTAGTCAATGGGCTATTTTTGACCTTCACGGCTGGCAATCGTCAAAAGACGCTTCTGTCAGCAGAATGGAGAATTTGATGACAAAATGGGGTTCTGATTACACACGAGTTTTGGATTGACACGTGGCAGTTGGTGATTCGATTCAATTGACGACTCAAGTGGAATCAAGTGAGCTGCACCGAGATGTCAAGCTGTTATCTGAGGAGATCAGGGTAAGGCTATTATGCCATGGTTAGGTGCAATGGCGTTTTAAGGTTTAGCTTTTGGGTAGCGGCTCCATTGGTACAGATTTGTTCATTGAAGGAATTTTCTCTATCTTGCTAACCTTCTTTTGGTTTAGGCGTATCGCTGCAAGGGAACGCGTACCCTGACGCCACACAGAAGGTTAAGGGTCTTGAGGAAGCTGTGGATGCGAAGTCCTTGATTTTTCATGTTAGCCTTTTTGCTTGAACTGAGGCATTCGGCCTCAGCTATGGAGGCTTTGTCGGCCATTGATAAAAACACACCTTCATTCTTCGAAAGCTCTTTTTTGTTCCTTCCCCTCGAACACAATTATCTTCTAGAAGCCATTCCAGATATTCATAATGATGATACGGTCCCGGTTCTGCCTTACGTGGGTGCCCCTCTTTTGCAACCACATACCCCACCTGCCCCACCTACCCCGACGCCGAGACCAATACCCGAGAAATTCACAATTCTGGGATTTCTTATGGTTTCTTGTGTTTCAGTGGGATGGTTTTGCCGTTCTTGTCCCCTCTTGGTCCTCTCGCACGGCAATACCTTTGCAGTCGTATTTGAAGTTTGAAGATTGGCCACAGGGTACCCCGTTTAGATGTCAATGGAGGTCTCAAATAGGGGGCTTTTCTTTCATGATACTCAATTGTTTAAAAGTCCATTTTCTAGATAAGCAGCCTATTCACAATGGCGTTCTATGGGCCCCGAACGAGAGTTGTAGTTGCACTATGAGAGTGGGCCAATTGACTGAAAAGTTCGTTTCAATTGTGACCGCCGGGGCCATAAATTTGTCAACCCCATCAGAAACCGTCCCCGTCTATAATACACCTTTATTCGTGGTTGGGCTACTAAAACTCGCCGCCTCGTGTGCCCTATCCCAAAAGGGCCAACCGCCATTAGGAGCACTTCCCGGTGCCACAAAACACCATTGACCCAGTTTCAACTCTCTTAACCTCACCCAGCCTGAAATAAATCCAAATCATAAAACTAACTCAATCCATTGGTGTTGTCTCTTCCATGACTTTCCACCACTTCCACACATCCACCAACTTTCCACCCGATGAATCACAAACCTGCCAAAACAACCACAAACTCAATTTCGCCGAAAACAGCCAATTGGCTCGTCGCCTCGACCATCCCATACTTTTTCAAATTGAATTTACCATGATTCACTTTGTCACCCACTCATCTCATCTACCCCACATCCCATCACCACCCCACCTCATCCACCAACGTCTCTCACCATCAAACACAAAAATCACCATAATCAAAAACCACCAATACCTTATCTTGTAAGCTCTCCATTCTCATTTTCCAAACCCTCTCCCTCTCCCTCTGCACCCCCTGGGATACGAGCCCAGATCCGATCCACACTATTCCGCACCTCCAACTTTTCACCTCCACATTTCCTCATTTCCACAACCAACCACTTCTTTTTCATGACAGACTACTCCGTCAGCTCCCAGCGGCCCGACCGCACCACCTACGGCTTGCCCAAGCCCAAAGCTGCCTACTTCCCGCAGCCAGGGTCCAAAATCTACGCCGACAAGGAGCTCTACAACCGTATTGCCGAGGCCAAAAAGACCAAAGTCGAATCCCACTTGTGTGCGCCACGCCTGGGAATTGCCGTCCGGGTTCCGGCAAAACTGGTCATTCGCTTGACGACGCCCGAAGGCCCGCAGGTGTGTGACTTGAACATCTGGAACTACCACAACCCTAGGGAACGGTTCTGGGCTGCTAGAACCAGACAGCTCCACCTGGCCCATGTTTCCGTGCACGACCGTTTGTGGTCGATTTTGCCCTTTTTAAGGCCTCTTGTGACCATCACAGCCGACACCTTGGGAGGCCGTCACGACGAGTGGGGTGGAAGGGTCCACGATACCTTGGGCACCAGGTGTGATCCGTATGTGGACAAGTTGATTTCGGGCGAGGATAACGATTTTCATTGTCATTCGAACTTGACGAGAGCGGTGTTGCCGTACGGGCTCACGGAATTCGATGTTCACGACGTTTTGAACGTTTTCCAGGTGACCGGGTTGACCGAGCAGGACCAGTATTTCATGGAAACCTGCCCTGCGCTGAAGGAGGACTACTTTGAGATGTTTGCGGAGCAGGAGTTGCTTGTGGCGATTTCGGCGTGTCCCGGTGGGGATTTGAGTAACTGGGACTGGGGTGAAACGGAGGGTGGAGACACTAAAATGGTGGACAACTGCAGACCGTTGGGGTTGGAGATCTACAAGTTGGACGACGAGGCGGAGGTTTTGAAGGGGTGGCAGGAGCCCGAGTATGCGCCGTACAAGGGCCGTCACGGCTTCAACCAGCCTGTCTACCAGGCGTAGGTCAAGAATGCAATGAGCTGATGGGGTTGATTGAAGCGATGGTTGAAAAATCAGCGTTTTATCAATTGAATGGTCCAGTCAGTTTGGATGTGTTGCACCAGAACAGGATAGTACATAGGGGTAGACAGAATAGACAGCTGGTGAAAGTTAGACGTAAGGGTTGTATTGATAAGCATCGGTCCAGTGATGATTTTTTTAAAAAATACAATTCATCTGATTATATGGAAAACAGTAATAAATTTACATAGTGAAACCCCCATTGCTTATATGTGAATCGTTCAAATCACCAAAAATGGGCATTTTGACTTAACAGCCCTTCAATTGAATAAGCAACTTTTGCAACATCTTCGTTTATCTAATGCATGCTTTTGGATGGTAATCCAAGCGAAAAAGGTCAACTCTTGTAACATCTTCGTTTATCAAATTTTTCTAATTACATGCTTTTGGATGGTAACCCACGGAATACCACTTCCACCGTCATTCAATTTCTCACAAGCACGCCTACGACAGCCCGTCAATGGCGTTTCCAAGCCACTCGCTGAGTTCATCGTCCGTGATAAACCCTGCAACGTCACTTCCCGTGTATGGAACACCCTCACGCTCCAACATGGTCTGGAGAAACTCCATGGCCTCTATGTCCTTGTCTTCACCACTTACGCTCATGCTTTTAAGACGGCCTTTCACAACCTCAAACTCAACAACGAGACCTCGCTCCTTCTTTTCAAAACGGTGGGTAAACTTAGCGGTGGAGCCGAATTTCCACTCCCACAGCGTGAGCTCGTTTCTCATGGCCTCGATCTCCTCAGGAAGCTCTGTATCCTCGTCAACGACGAAGGTCTCACACTGACGCTCCGAAAAGGCATTCACAAAGTCCTGAAGCCCGAGAAACTCGTTCTCGTTCATCTCCTCTGGCTCCTTCTCCTTCGCTTCCTCGACTATCCCATAAGCATCCCTGAAACCGCTGCTGACGGCTTCAATGAACTCCTCCTTGTCCAAATGCAAATTCGTCACCGGCAGCTTCACAGACTCCACCGAAGCCAGACTGGCAATACTGCCGAGCAGTTCTTCTCTATGAAGCAACTGCCGAAGAACATCGAGCTTCAGATTGAGAAGCATCGTTCCGTGGTGGTACAGGCGCCCTTTGGTAAGCTTATAGGCCGAGCCAGACACCTTCAACTGGTCCTTGATCGTGACAATGTCGCCCCTCTCCGTGACCATGATCTGCTTTTCCTCCTGGGCTATTTTGTTGGTTGATTCACAAACAACACGGGCAAACGCCTGGCGGTCAAACGCCTCCTTCGTGGTCATGAACGAGTAGTTGACATTCCCCGTATCGTGCACAACCGTGCCTCCGCCAGACCTCCTCCTCACCATCGGTAGTCTTAACGAATTGAGCAAAGGCATATTCACCTCTCGCCACGGATTCTGGTTTTTTCCAATCACCACGCACGGCAGGTTGACGTAAAACATGAGTCTGTTGCAATTGGCCTCTCCTGCAGCTGGCACAGGCATGTTATGGTAGACGTAGTCCTCGATGGCCAAGTTGAGGTATGGGTTGGTCAATCTGGACACAAACACCAAGGGCTGCTTCTTTTTTGTAGCCTCCACAAACGAGGAGGCCAGAAGCTGCTCTTTTATAGGCTCCGGCTTCCGTTCGGCCGGTTCTTCGTCAGATCCTAGTCCCATCCGTTTCTTGTGTGCAAGGACATCCGGCAGTTCCTTGTAGTCCTGGAAGCCGTCCAAGTTGAAGAGTTCGTCGTCGGCAGGCGTGAGGTCATCTTGGAAAGGCACGTGGATCCGTCTGGCCTGTGCAGTACGAACTACAGGCACAGTTCGTAGAAGCCTGTGGAGCATACTGTTGAGTGTGCGAAGTAGGAAGACATCAACAGATTGGGTGTGAGTCGGTCGGAGTCAGCAAGGCGGGAGGTATGGAGATTTATGGGGTTTTTGAGATTTCGAATAAATTAAAAAGAGCGAATCTTGATTTTTTATAGAAATCCCAAAATTCGATGATTTGTTGTTGGTTGGTTGGGTCCTTACATAGGGCTCATCGCTGCATCGCGTTTTCCACTACAAGTGCATTACCAGAGACTGACAATACAGACCATTCTCTGAAGCCCAAACAACAAAAACACCCCAATTTCTTCTATTCCTTGACTCCTGGACCATAACACCACTACACCAGCATGGACAGAGATAATTCCGTGGAAAAACACCTCCTCAGCAGAAGCTTCGATGCTACATCCCAGATCGTCGAGATCCTCGATAAAAGGTACTCCGTGTTTGGCGGTCAAAAGCCGTTTATCCCCCTTGTACCCACAGAAGGAGACTCCAAAAGCGGAGATTCCAAAGACGAAAACAAGGACGGGTCTGTAAAGGAGTCCAAAGACTCAAAGGACCACAGACCAAGGGGTAACCGTATTCCCAAGAAACGCAAGGGAAACACCAGAACCCTCCTTAGAACGTACCTCAAAACGACCAAGACCAAGCAAGTCAGAGGCGAAAGATACGTCCAGCTGAACCCCAATATGAACATCGACCAACTCACAGCACGTCTTCAGATTCCCGTTTACGAGGACTACATTGAGCTCAACAAGCTCTGGAACAATTACATGGTGGACTTGCTTTTCGGCGAGAACAAGAAACCCAACATCAACATGGCGTTGCCCAAGTTGTCCACTGCTGATTTCCACGGTTGCAAAATCCGTGTGCTTGAGTCCAGAAACCGCAATTTGGTGGGAATCGAGGGAATCGTTTTGCACGATGCCCAGAACTCATTTTTTGTTGTGGTTCAGCAGAAAAAGGATAAGGAGGATGGACCTACGGTTTCGGCTGCTGAAAAGTTGGGAGGTGTTCGTTCGCTTGCAAAAGAAGGCACCCTATTTGGTTTTGATGTGGAAACGAAGAGCAAGACTATTGGGTTCACGTTGATGGGCTCCAGATTTGAGCACAGATCTACGGACCGTTCTGGCCGTAAGTTCAAGGCCCACAACGTGAAGGACATTCTTTAGGGATATTGTGGATTATAGACTTTGTATATAGGTAAAAACGCCTTTTATTAATTTCATGCTAGTATGGATGCTTAATGTGACTCAAATTGGAGCCGTAATCTAGGCCCGGAGCCACAGATCGAGGTACACCACGTCCTCCTCGTTCACCTGGGCGTTGATCACAGAGTAGTGGTCGAAAACACTGAACTGGTTCTCTGCGTCGATCTCCTTCAAAAACTTCTCCTGTTCAGCATTTAAACTGCCCTCTCGGTAGGCCCTTCCGTAGCCCGCTTCAAGAACCAGCTGCCACGTGGCTTTATAAACATCAGCTGTGTCCCTGACAACCTCGATCTTGTCGTCCATTACGAGCACTTCACAAAGGGAACGAACGTCGTTGAGGGCCAAGTCGATATTGGTGATTTTGTTGCTGGTGATGAAGTCCATGACAGCGTCAAGACTGGCGAACCCGGTGTGGTTTGCTGGAAAAACGCTGGAGAAAACATTCACATTGGCCTGAGGTTCCTGGAACGCCAGAGGAAACGTTTTCAGCGCTATGAAACGCCACACAACGGTGAGCAAGGAATCGATAAATTCCGTATCGAGCTCGGAGTCCGTAAACCACGGACCTCCAGTAACATCAATGGACGGCTGGAGGTTGTATAGCATGTAGATTTTTCTTGTAGGGTGCTTGACAGACTTGATCAGCTTGATGTAACGTTGCAGCTCCAACAGCTTCAAGCACCGCATGACGATGTGCTGGTGCATGTTGGTTTTAGCCTTGAGCGTCTTTGTCCAGATACCTTCTCTTCCAGAGGCTTCAATGTAGGAGTAGATCATTTGTTCATCGTCAGTCATCGAGGTCAACTTTTTCGTTTCCAGCGCCAGGATCGCCTGGAATCGGAGATATTCGCCGATTTTGGCCAATTTGAGCATCTTTCTGTTCAAAAGGCTCTGTGTGACTGCCAAAAGCTTGGACAAGTCGGTTTCGTTCATGAGGTCTAGAAGCTCCTCCTGAGTGTACATCTTGCTGGCGGGGGCCTCCAGCATACGCTGGTGGAGGATATCGGCCGGGTCCATTTTCGGGGAAATTCGTGGACTTTTTGTTGTTTTTTTGTGCTTTGTGGTGCTGATCTGTGGAGTAGATCAAGTAGTAGTTGGATTTTTCGATGCGCATCTCAACATGGATATTAGTGATGAAGAAACACCACAGGTGAAACGGCCTGTTTTCAAGAAAAAAAAGGCCAAGGGCGGCCGGGCAGTGAAAAGGGTGTATGAGGAGGAAACGGAAAATGTCCAGAAACGGGTGAATGTCGTGGAACAAAAGAGTAACTCCAGAACCATGGAAAGGATACAACGGTACCGTTCTTTGAAGAAAGACGAGAACGAGGAAGACTCAATGAAGGACGAGAGTTCTCCTTTGGTACCAACACCATCGGGCGATGCCGGCTTGGCCTACACTGTTCTTCCAGACCCCGCCAAAACCTTCTCCTTGAAGGAGTCCCATTTTCGGGAGAAACCCGTGGAAATCAAAACGGAGTACGAAAAGGAGTACGATGATATAAGCGATGATCAGAAACCCCAGGTTTTGAGCGACTCGGACCACGAAATGGACGTTCCAAACGTGGAATACACTACGGCTCCGCTGGCGGATCCAGACCAGTACTTTACGGAAATCGTGGATGATGTGGAGATGGAGGAGGCACCTAGGGGCGAATTTCCTGGTCTGGTTTCGGCGTATTTGGCTGAAATTGGTAGAATTACGAAGGATGCTCAGGAACAGGTGGATAGTGCTAGAACGAAGGCTGAGGCTTCCAGGCTGCGAATTGAGGCGATGGAGGCCAAGAAGCAGGAGGTTTTGAGGGGTGCTGAAAGCGGGAGAGGTGTTTTTGGCACGGTGGCGGACTTTATTCGTTCGTTGTACAGAAATAGTGAGACCAAGGAGGTTGTGGAGAGGAAGGATGAGAAGGACGATATTGATGTGATGCTGCTCTGGGCGTGAGGGGGCCAACTGGGGTTTTGGTGTTGAGCGGAGTGGAGGAATGGAGTTGGTGACCAGTTGGATGTGTTAGGGTTCGATCCAGAGGGATCCCGATTCCAACTGTACCTAAGATGGGCATACGGTAACTTAGAAGATGGGCCAATTGTAACTAAGAAGATGGGATCATGAGGGTCCTATTCTACCATTATGCTGGAAGATCCACGTTATCCATACCACAGCCATTCAATGATCTAGCAGGCTAGGTCTTTGATGCTCTATGACGCATTTCAATGTTCGATACTTCAGTGTTGACATATCCACAGCAAGCCACAAGTCAATCGCTCAAGTTAAGAACGATTGCATTTCGACTCAGAGCTTAATTAATTCTCGAACAAAGAAATATCGCCGAGGAAAGCTTCTCATTGTAGTTGACGAGGACTACTTCTAGGGAGGTCCATCATACATACCCACCCAGTATCCGTTTCTTTCACTTTTTGCAATATAATGAGAATGGCTCAACTATAGGCCAATTGATATCAAAAAAATTTTACTCTTCAGTCTGATGAATACTACGATTTTGGCAGTACCTCTGACTGTGACCTGCACACTCGAGAAGAGCATCACCAGCCCTAGTCACCAAGCTCCATCTTCCTCAAAGTCCAACTTTAGTAGAGATATTTTTTTATCACATTTCAAAGATCGTCCACCTCCTTCATACCATTTTCTCCAAAACCTACCATCAATTGGTGCATTCCCACCGCAAATCCTGACTCTGATGCTTCACGCATTACATCACCACCAGGCACAAAGAACCACCAATAACCGAGTCCCACAATGCCCTCCCGCACGATGACTCTTACAAAGCCGCCAGAAGCAGGCCGTTTGGGCCAATCAGGGTGCGGTCGTGCGCCACCCATAGATCTTTGACCGCGCTTAGCTCGCCATTGCCCGATTGGGAATGAGTCAATCCTCCACCATATAAACCAGAAAAACCACCCCATCTTTTTCCCAGTCCCCCCATGTTCAAGCGTTTCTTCAGTCAGTCCATAGCAAAGCCCCAAATGACGACCCCACGCCACCTAGTGAACATTCTGCTGCTCAGCAACGAGGAATTTGCATCTTTGGTTAGCAAAGCCGAGGCCCTCAAGAAGGTGGTGAAAAATGGCAATCTCAGCCAGATCAAAGAGAACCACGACAAGCTTCTTGGGAAAGTCGTTGCCCTTCTTTTCTCCAAAAGATCCACCAGAACAAGAATCTCCACAGAGGGCGCTGCAGCCCATTTTGGTGCTCAACCCATGTTTCTTGGAAAAGACGATATTCAGCTTGGTGTCAACGAGCTGATGTACGACACCACCAAGGTGATTTCGCTGATGACGTCGTGCATCTTCGCCCGTGTCAACAAGCACCAGGATATCCAGGATTTGTGCAAGGACTCCTCGGTTCCGATCATCAACTCTCTTTGCGACATGTACCACCCACTTCAAGCGATTGCTGATCTTTTGAGCATCAAGGAGGCCTTCGGACGCACGGAGGGCCTCAAGCTTGCGTGGATCGGAGACGCCAACAACGTGATCAACGATTTGGCCATTGCTGCTTTGAAGATGGGCATTTCTGTTTCAGTCTCGATTCCCAGCCTGGTGCACTTTGAGCAGGTGATTTTGGACGATGCCGAAAAGTTGGTTTCTGAAAGCAACGGAAAGGTCAGTTTTGAGGTGGTCAACAGCCCCGCTGAAGCTCTCAAAAACGCAAACGTCGTGGTCACGGATACCTGGATCTCCATGGGCGAGGAATCGCAAAAAGAAGCCAAACTCAAGCAGTTCGACGGCTACCAGATCACACAGAAGATGGTCAGCGATGCAGGCGTCAACCAGGACTGGCGTTTCATGCACTGTTTGCCCAGACACCCTGAGGAGGTTGCAGACGATGTTTTTTACAGCGACAACTCCATAGTGTTTGAGGAGGCGGAGAACCGTTTGTATGCGGCCATGGCTGTGATCGAGGCGTTTGTGGTCAACAAGGGTGACTTATTGTTGAAGTAAATAATGGATAGTAATGAGGTATGGTGTGAGATGGTGTAGGGCCACGATTTGCTAAGGTCATTGAATTCTTTGATCTTGAAAAATGTGGTGGTGGGTCAGTTTGAACTGATTTGGTACGTTCAGCAATTTGGTGGACCTTCATTAATACATCTTAGGTCGTATCTGAAAGGTGTATTGAATAAGATGAGACTGATAACTTTTTGAAACAAGGGTACACCAACTCGGAGTTGTGTTGAAGCGATCTTCATTTTGCTCTTTTCCGGTGAATGTTAAGGCTAAATATTGAAAGCTCTAAAATTCATTTTGGTCGGTGGACCCACTACTTCAAATGATATCTCACCATCAGTAGTTTTGCCTCAACATATAGGGTAGAGCCACGATGGCAACTGAGGTCTTCAAATGCTTTGATCTAGATGTGGTGGGTCAGCTTAATACTGGTATGGTAAATTTTGTGTTTCGGTGGACCTCCATTGATACATCTTAGCTCCTATCTGGAAGGTGTATTGGTATGAAGAGAGTGTTACATTTGAAACCAGGGTGCACCAATTTAAAGCAGTTTTGAAGTTAGCGTCATTTTGTTATTGGGCTGAATCTTTGGGCTGAATATCAAAATTGTTAAGATGGATGAGGATGTGGATCAACCTATTGTGGATGACAGCAAAACACTAGAACAATGTGAGATCCAAAGATCCTTTCAGATTCCGATGCTGTACAGCCATATACTCCAACCAGTCAGACCAGTGGAAGAGAGTATTGACGACGAAATGCAAGCCTTTTATGATAATAGAACATTCATCCTAGTCAAGAGACCAAAGCACGAGAAAACAATTAAATGTCGTTGGGTAATTTCTTTGAAAGACTTGAAAACCTGCAAAGCTCAAAGTCCATTTGTCAGTGGACCCGCTAAATCTCACCATCAGTACTGCCTTGCCATACAACGAACTTAAAAAGTCGCTCCTCAAAGCATCTTCCCCATATCATCACCTTCCTCTTTATGATACATTTCACCACCGTCTCGTAACAACCAGCCAGACACTTAACCGATGTAGACCTTGCATGGATTTTCGATGAGCGATCCCCCACCTAGGCTTGATTGCCGAGCCTTCAACTCGTAACCATTGCATTGTGAAACCACATTTACGAATTCACAGCTTACCCAGAGGCGGGTGCAAATTAGAAAAAAGTATCCCGATTAGGGAGATTTCCAAAACCACATTCACAGTGATACTACATCTACAACACCCCTAGGTGTGCGCTGTCAAATCTGCCAAAGCACCACTGCCAAGCTCCGAATATGGTTGTAAGCCAAGGGTACGGAAAGTTGCAATCTTCCATGTCTTGGCCATTCGGAGTGTAACATGATGGCAAGGGGATCTCCTCACACCACTTTTATGCAAAACGGATACACCTTGGAATCAGAAACCCAGATTTGAAAAAGCGAGACACGAGACGGAAAAACTCCCTCACATTTGGTCTAGAAACAAGATCGGTGGAGAATACTCCGAGAATGCAGCAGAGACAGGGCCGGAAAAATTTTTTTCTGCGAAACACAAAGCCTAACGTATACGCCATGCCGCGTCTAGTCCCCGCAGGCCCCACAGGCTCCGCAACCCCGTCCGGAGAAACTTTTCTGGGCCTGGAGGCAGTTCACGCCAGGAATGATTACCAATCGGGGCCAAGAATTGTTCCGGTGCTGGCGGTTTGTTATGCGCGGACTGCACACAGTGCGGGAAAACCCTCCACTGTTTTTTTTGCTCGTCTCGCAGTAAGCGCCAGCCATGACCACATTCGGCAGCTCGGCCGGTGGTAGGCCAAACAAACTTCACGTAAGTGCAGCTCATTTAATGCATCCGACAGATTGTCTGTATGTTTTTTCCGGACCGGAAAAACTTTACTAATGGCATGATCTCGTGCTGACTAAGAACACGGACCAACCTCATCGAAACTAGTTTCTTTTGTACAGCGATCCTCGGTTAAATTCACAGTGCTCATGTCCTTTCTAACAGATCTGGGAGTTGCAACACGGTGGGGACGGTTTCCGAGAAAAAACAAAGAATGTGGAAAATCTCGGTGCACGCCGCCGCGTGGGCGCCCTGCTCGCTGCACAGTTAATCCGAGGCATGCGTGATGACGCTTAATTGCCCGGGCCCTGCAAATCCCCCGCTCTAGCGAAAAATAATTTTTCCGGAAAGGATCCGCCCGGTTTGCCATGCCCATAGTGGGCCGAACCGTTTGTCGTTCAACCCATGGAATATAGGGGAGCAACGTTTCAGGGCGAGCATCTGATCACGCATATCTGGCAGGAAAAAGAAATTTACAAGCCAGGTGCAACTGTTCTAGCGTCTCAGGTTACCTGCAGTCTCCCCCAACCGTTTGCAACCAGGATTGCTCTAGATATTCCTGCTCATCCGAACCTCAGTAAAGCCCAGCCAAGCCCCGACCGCCTCAACTACGAGAAATTTGTTAGCCCACTTTACTTCCAGTAGCAATTTACAAATCAGTAAGACTTCAAAAAATCCACAATCGTCCACAAAAGTTCTGCAATTCCCCAGAGTCCCCGGAATCTGCACTGTCGGCCTGGAGGCTGAGTGAAACTAGCGTTCCGGTCACAAAAGCGATATTTGTCGCCAGCTGGTGAAGGTAGGTGTACTGCAGAGGCGGTGGAGAACGGCAACTCTCAAAGATCCGGTGATGTTTTAGTAGTGCTGCGTGTGTCAAACGTGCTTTTTAAATTTCTCTTTAATTTTTTTAGATCTAACCAGAGCATACAAGGGGCCGCTCCATATGGAGAAAGGCGGGGGTGGCACTGCCTCGGCCATTGCTGGCAATTGCGTAAGAGGTGGGACTTTTTTTTTTTTTTTTCTTTTCGCATTTCTTCCGGTGCATACGTCATGTCGGAAAAACCTGGGCACCTGCATCACTGCTGCAGCCCAAAAAGAAAAAATGGCAACCGCCTCTGCAAAAACTATATAAGGCTGCCGT